CCAGCTTAAAAGAGCGCACCGTTTTTAATGGATTTATGCTGAACCTTGCGGCGCGGAGCTGCTAAAATGGATGCCCTTATATTTGTCGCAACCAGATGAAGTGCTTTTAACTGCAATTAAAAATATATTTTTGTTATAAAAAGTTCTCGGAGAGATCACACTTACCAATTAGCTTTAAACTGGTTGGTGGCAACTGTATAACCTTCCCGGGATTTAGGGCTCGTACTCGGCTCAATATTAAATCCTCACTTTGGTACTCAACCTCTGAAATTTTTATTTTGGAATTTTTATCCTAGCCAATCAAATTTAAATATTATATACAATATAATAAATATAATATAATATATAAATATAATATATATAATATAATATATAAATAAATAATATATATAATATAATATATAAACTACTACATATAATCGCTTAAGAAAGTGTGCATGTGTATATGGGCACTGGTTGTATGCTCTGTATCTGTACCTGCTTGATAACTCAATCGAGCAGGCTCATCGAAGAACATTTTGATATCCGTGCACATTGCGGGCATAGAGCTAAGTTTTCTTAACTCTAGGCAGTATCTCGCGCACGCAAATGCAAAGATAGTAAGTTAGACTCACCTGTAGCCGTGAATTTGTCTAAGATTTCAACAGCCTGAGGTTGGCTGACTTTCCAGAAGATTTTTATGTTTTGCAAGGTACCTAATACCATGGGAGATAAAAAAAAAGACCCCACAAGGTGGCGGGCATTATGGCTCTGCAACGAATGCGGATCAGAGTGCGAATCTCCATCCCCTAAAGGGAAACTACGTGTAAGTCCACCGCGTCGTGGGTCACTATTTCAGCCTTTCCGATTACCGGATTGTTTAAATAGTACTTTTACTACGATCGTGCTGGTCCCCAGTCTGTGGGCTGTAACATCGCCCGAACATATGGCTTGGAATGCCAAAAATATTACTTATTATCAGCCGATAAAGGAAAATTAACTTACTTACACTTAAGCTGCTTCTGTCTAAGAGGAAGAGGTTTTCGTTGGTGTCGAAGAGCCTGACGATCGCCTCGATTTGGGTTCCACGCTCAATACGGTCCCTGCTAGATACTTCAATGGCACCAAAGTTGGACAGAAGGTTGGGTTCGTTCATCAAACAACGGTCGGTCAGATCAAGACGCACATGGCCAAAACGCAACTGCTTCAGTACTAGTATGCGGGTCCTCTCATTGTATTCAACATGAACAATGCCTCTTTCAGAAAGCACTATCTACATGTATCCACTACCCTGAGCGATAGGAATGTGCTCTCTGTGGCCACAAGCAAGAAAAATGTTGACAAGGTCTTTCGACAATATTGTTCTATTAACCGCGTTAAATTAAAGTTCGTTTTCAATGGTTACTACGTGCTTACTAAACTTGTATTAGGCTGCTAAAGAAAATAAAAATATATAAGTTTCAAGGTAAATTCATGGAGACAGGATAACCCACATTTTTAATTCCGAATGGAGGACGTTTCGAATAAATTTTCTGTTGTGCAAATATCTTGTCTATGTACTGGGACACAGTTCCCTTTATGGAGAAATTGGTCGCTACGTCGCTTAATGTCAGGATGAAAAGATCGCGTTTCGGTAAGCTTACATCGTGAATATACTCCAACTCAGAAATTTAAAGGTGTGGAATAATGTCCTTGTAGTAGCGCTCGTTATCAACGGTAAACTCCCAATCCAGCCGTAGAGCGCTGACATTCATAACCCGCCGATTATTTGCATCCTCCACTTCTATCTTAACTTCAAACTGGTTCGCACTGTTTTTCAAGAACACAAGTGAGGAGTGGTGTTTCAGTGGACAGAACTGACACAGGTTGTGGCTAACATAGAGCGTTAGGAATCGCGGACGCACGCAATGCACCTTAGTGGTCTCGTACGATTGACGCATTGCCGGGCTAAATGAGGCTAGGGTGTTACGCATTCGATAAGTAAATTCCTGAGACGGTTAGGGGTCAGAAAGCAGATCTGCGCAAGATAAACAATTTTCTTGTTTTTCTTTAGCGCGACCTTGACGGCAGTGTGGGCTGCCAGCTTCCATCATCAAGAAACTTCTGGGACACAAAAAAAGATCGAGCGCCATTGATTTCAGTTGTGACCACTTGAGACTACCAGGCGTAGTTGCAGTTTCAATGCTTTTACACTGTTAACATCGTAGGGTAATATCACAATATTAGGAATTAGATTTAGCTCTTCAAATATCTTAAGCTCAGCTTGTATAGACAACAGCGATATATATAAAGTATGATTATGAATATGTTTAATATATATGCCTGGTCGTAAATTGCTGAAATCATCTATTATAATACACAAACAAGGAGGCTTAAACATAATTTTTTTTAATAAATAGCGAAATAATGTTCAGATTTGGAAAATCTTTGATAAATCGATAGATATTGACAAAAAAAATGTAATACAAGGTCAAACCAAGACATACACTATAATATTATAGACGCCACATTTTTCGGGTTTTGTGGGCGCTAGAATGGTCGTGGCCGGATTAATACTAGGGGCAAGTTGCAGTGACATCTTTTAAATACGTATTCTTAAACACAACTTTCTAACTCTTTTAGTTCCCGAGATTTTCGACTTGCTGGTTTTTCGGGTTTTGTGGACGTTAGAGTAGGCGTGGCTTTATCGGAAAAAAACAATTGTATAAGGGGCATCATAAAAACCTAGATGCTTAATCCGAACTTTCTAGCACTTATAGTTACCCAGATATCAGCTTTTCCAGAAAATGCAAAAACCGTTATTTGAGCTTGGTGTGCGTAAGAGTGGGTGAGGGATAATGCTACGCTGGCATCTCAATAAGGTGCATACTACAGAAACAAATCAAAAGGCTTAAATCCGAGACTTGTCAAGAATATGAGAGATTTACATTATATATAAGTATAATAATAATAATTAATATAATACTATTTATATTACTGTAATGTAAGTTTATTAACAGAAAAAACTATTTTCATTTAAACTGCTTGAAATTGATGACAATGCCACCGGCACAAATGGTGTTTTGGTTTTAAATTTGTTAGCATTTGTTGTAGAAGGTTGCAACCATGAGCATCAGGGAATTCACTATCTAATTTAAACTCACCTTGGTAAGGAAGAAGTTATTTGAACTAACCACTGACAACTTAATATAGGCCCAAAATACTTGATTCCTGCTTAGTTCCACAACCTGATGACAATAACATTCTTGGTCTCACGCAACAAGTTCAGCTGAAAGGAAAGCGAGTGAGACTTTGCTGGACTATTTAATGTGAATGCATAAAATAACAAAAAAAAATTTTAATTCACAGGAGACTGAAATGACAAGAGAAGGCACTAGTCTCACAAGCTTTCAATGTACCATCAGCCTATTTTTGACTGTCCAGACCATGCTGCCAGAAATCCCATACAAATTAAAGGAATTTTACTCTGTTTACCAATTAATAAGAATTATGCTACCAACAACCAGCTCCAAAACAATTTTTATACTCGTCACTCGTAGAGTAAAAGGGTATATTAGATTCGTTGAAAAGTATGTAACAGGTAGAAGGAAGCGTTTCCAACCCTATAAAGTATAGTCGAGTCGATTAAACCATGTCCGTGAATCCGTCCGCCCGTCTGTCCACACGTCTGTCTGTCAGTCTGTCTGTCCGCCTGTCTGTATGAACGCTGAGATCTCAGGAACTATTAGAGATAAAACGTTGAGATTTAGCATGAAGATTCTTGAGCGCTGACACAGCGCAAGTTTAGTTCAGCATCCTTACACGCCCGCTCTATCCCTCACAAGTCACGGAAAACTAAAATTGCTGAAATCTCAGAAAGTATTGGAGCTAGAAAATTTTGATTAAGTATACACTTGAGATGTCAGCACATCTAATGGTGGTACCAATATCCACGCCCACCAAGCTCGAACGACGGTTTTCGCTTTTTATAGAAAAGCTGATATCTTGGAAACTATAAGTGATAGAAATGTGGGATTAGGCATGCTGTTTTTTATGATGCCGCAATGCTTTTTTCCCCATCTAGCCACACCCACTATAACGAGAAAAACTGTGGCATCCACATTATTATAATTTATATCTGCGTTTGACATTGTATAAACTATTTTGGTCAATCTCTATTGATTTACCATAATTTTTCAAATCGGAACATTATTTCGCTATTTATAAAGTTTTTTTTGACAAAAGGTGGCGCTTTGTGAATTCCCACTACCAAAATGAATATTTTAAAATTGTATAAAACTGTAACGGGTATCTTATAGTCGCGGTACTCGACTGTATTTAGAACCAACTAATACATGTTTTCTTATTGACAGTAAAGTCACTTCCTATGTGATATCAAAATTTCACAATTTGAAAACTTTTTTCCACATGCTCTAATCTGCGTTAAAATCTATAGTAAATAAATGATTAATCTTCGCATTTATTTTGTATTATTATATTTTAGTTTGAGTGAACTTGGAACTTAGTTTTTCCCGGCTAGTGACAATTATTGGGTGGTAAAACAATGGTCCCAGGGCTAATTCTCACCTGGCGGTGAGAACACTACCTTACCTTAATTTCTAGAAATAATGCCCATAATAAGTTTTGAAATATTATTTTTTTGCATTCCTTTTACCTTTTATGCTAAAGAGTATAAATAATAAAGTGAAACTCACCTCAATATTGTTCTATTATTATTTATTTGAGCATAAACTAAATCTTTGGTGGCGAATTCATAACGCAGGTCATTAACGTGCTCAATTTTATGGGAGAATTCGTTTATTCGTGAAGGGATACTTTGAGCACAAAGTACATTCCACCGGTATTTTGTTTTCCGACTTTCTAAATTTTAGGTTTGACACAGTGTCACTAAAATGTATTGCACATTCTGCACTTCAATACCGATAGGTAGTGTTTGGTGTGCTGTTTTCGCCTTAGAGATATATACGAAATTTTAATCAATAATTATCTGATTTAGGCCTTAGAACCTTACAAATATAAGATTACGGCCTAGAAAGTGTTTTGTTTGCAAACGCCCATCTGGAGTCACGTTTACTATACCATTGCTTTGACCGTCCAGCTTAAAGAGCGCACCGTTTTTAATGGATTTAAGCTGAACCTTGCGGCACGGAGCTGCTAAGTGGAATCCCTTATATTTGTCGCAACCAGATGAAGTGCTTTTAAAAGTGCAAATAAAAGATATATTTTTGTTATAAAAAATTCGCGGAGAGATCACACTTACCAATTAGCTTTAAACTGGTTGGTGGCAACTTTATTACCTTTCCGGGATTTAGGGCTCGTACTCGCCTCAATATTAAATCCTCACTTTGGTACTCAACCTCTGAAATTTTTATTTTGGAATTTTTATCCTAGCCAATCAAATTTAAATATTATATACAATATAATAAATATAATATAATATATAAATATAATATATATAATATAATATATAAATAAATAATATATATAATATAATATATAAACTACTACATATAATCGCTTAAGAAAGTGTGCATGTGTATATGGGCACTGGTTGTATGCTCTGTATCTGTACCTGCTTGATAACTCAATCGAGCAGGCTCATCGAAGAACATTTTGATATCCGTGCACATTGCGGGCATAGAGCTAAGTTTTCTTAACTCTAGGCAGTATCCGCACGCAAATGCAAAGATAGTAAGCTAGACTCACCTGTAGCCGTGAATATGTCTAAGATTTCAACAGCCTGAGGTTGGCTGACTTTCCAGAAGATTTTTATGTTTTGCAAGGTACCTAATACCATGGGAGATAAATCAAAAGGACTCCACAAGGTGTCGGGCATTATGGCCCCGCAACGAATGCGGATCAGAGAGTGCGAATCTCCATCCCCTTAAGGGAAACTACGTGTAAGTCCACCGCGTTGTGGGTCACTATTTCAGCCTTTCCGATTACCGGATTGTTTAAATAGTACTTTACTACGATCGTGCTGGTCCCGTCTGTGGGCCGTAACATCGCCCGACCATATGGCTTAGAATGCCAAAAATATTACTTATTATCAGCCGATAAAGGAAAATTAACTTACTTACACTTAAGCTGCTTCTGTCTAAGAGGAAGAGGTTTTCGTTGGTGTCGAAGAGCCTGACGATCGCCTCGATTTGGGTTCCACGCTCAATACGGTCCCTGCTAGATACTTCAATGGCACCAAAGTTGGACAGAAGGTTGGGTTCGTTCATCAAACAACGGTCGGTCAGATCAAGACGCACATGGCCAAAGCCCTTGTAGATTGGTTTTACGGATGTCCCTGCGGAAAACTCCAAGTTAGAATAAAAAGGAAGATGAGAAGATGAAATAAACCGACTTACCATTTGTATTAGTTACATATGTTGACCTCCAGTGTTAATTTAATTGATTTCACCTAAATATTGGCAAAAGTACGCACGGTTGTTTTAAGCGCGCTGCATTAGCTGCGTAATTTTTTGCCAACACCAGTAATGCCGCGCATAAATTCAGTTTTAAATTATAATTTTGGATGCTACTTGCTAAAAATAGAGATGGACAAACATTTAATATCCGGGAAAACATGCAGTCTCATTATTTTTCAAGTATCTACCGCCTTAATACGAATTATATTTTAATATATCATCAGCACACTGGTGGCTAGAGTCTGGTCTGCAAATATTTATCATACAAGTACATTATCTGATTAACCTGAAACGTGTTACAACATATTATGGGTACATATGGGTTTGTCTTACAACTCAGTCCATAAAAAAATGTATAAAAACTGTTACGGCGAGAAATAGAAAAAGGAAAATAATTGATTCTTACTATTGCAGGAGATCCACGGAAATATCTTCTAAACGAACACCGTCCACCATTTAATACAATTATTTCAGAAAAAAATTAAAAGTTTTAATATAAATTCGGCTCAATCTTTTAACTATAACTTATATTTAAAGTATCACAAATATGTCGTTCCACAGATTTATATTGCCATCCCAAACTATTCCATAATGACCGGGCTTGTATGGAGCGAGCTGACAAAAATATTTCTAGTGGAGATAAAAATTTAAAATTCTAGAAAAATGTGATAAACAAAGTAAACAAACTCTAGATCGTCAGACCAAATTTTTAAGATATAATTATGATAGCATATTAATAATAACACGTACAGATCAAAACATATATATTAAAAACTGACTTTATTTTGGGTGGTACCTTTCGTTGTTATGAAAGGATCCCATAAAAGAAGTAGACGATTGGGTAGGTGTTCATTTGTTTCTACTGAGAAATTTTTCTAGCATGCTGCAAACGAAATGTTCTTATTCCTTAACTCCACAGCATCATCCGATAACTTATTAATCGACACCAGAGCGTGTTTAATTATGAAGTCTTTCAACATTAATGTTGTATCCCGAACAGAGTGCTTTCAATATTGTTTCAATAAGGGTTTATCTAGGCCGGTAATTTCCGAAGATAACACGGGATAACTGAAGAATCATCTTGCAGTGTTTCCACGTATGAATATAAGGTAACACTTCTGAGGGGTAACAAACAGTCGGTAGAAATCGTGTGTCATTTTTGGATCACCCTAGTCTTTCTAGATGCCGACTTAGCATATCATGCGGTCGGTCTGCCGACTAAGTTCCCTATTTCGTACAGCTAAGTTCCTCAGTTCTGTTTTATAATTACTTACTCCGACTATCGCCGTCATATTATTTGCAATCGCCCACTGAGCTCAAGACCAGGGGTATAGGGGGGCAGTCTCCCTCTCGACATAAACTTCATTTTACACATCATCAACCACCTTACCAGTGACACACACCTGGGAGCAGCAGCCCGGCCGCCAATTCCCAACTATCTTGACACTCACTACTACTCAGCAAGCACCCTACTGGTGCCACCTCATCAGCCTGATCTGGAGCAGCTTTGCCACCGGACAACCGACTATAAGATAACTGGCGCCTAACGAGCAAACTAAACTAGCGACCTTCAAAATTTTCAAGAGTAACATGTAAGTGGGCTGATTAATTAGTTTACGGCTTCAACAAACATACACAAAATTGCATACAATAAAAAAGAAAAAAAATATATAATAATAAAGCTGGAATTGTGACCTGCAGCACTTATAAAATTCTTTATTTTTAAAAATATATTTAAATAAATTAAATAAATACAAAATATTATACTATATTATATATAATATTAAAGTGTAATGCCAGCCGAACAGAAGATTCGGCTTTATGTATTGAACCTCGTATGAATTAGGTGGTTCAAGTTTTTAATGAACTCTCCAGGTCCGTATAGAGAAATTAAAAAGGAAGTCGTGAGTGATAGTGAAGAAGAAGAGATCCGGGGTTTTACACCAAGACAGGCTCAAATCAAAGAGAAAGGAGACATAATGAACGCAAGCGAATTGCAAAACATTATCCAGGGCGACATAGCGCAACAGGCTAGGCTCCGAGCAGAATTTGAAGCTCAAATCACTTCCGTTAATATACCAAAGAGTCTAAGTACAGCCAGGAGCACCCCGATGCGATATACCGCTCCACGTAATAAAGTCAGTACCAGATTTTAACGGTCAGCAAGACGAGGCAATCTGCCACGACACATACGAACTCTACAAACCTTATCAGGGCAACTATGCTTGGGCTTGAGCGACCCGCCAAAGTGACCAAAGCGTCATGCCATACATACTATGACGAGGTTGAGCGTAGGCTAACCCTCGTCACGAATAAAATTGTCATGTCCCACGACATTGAAAGAGCCACACTGCTCAACAATGAGGTAAGGGCGGACGCTTTACATGTGTTTATCTCAGGCCTAAAATAACCTAAGAGCAGTCGTATTACCGTAAGACTCAGTACCCCGTTCCCGATAAACAAGGAAAAGATGTGTTTATCACAGGCCTAAAAAAACATGAGAGCAGTCGTGTTCCCGTAAGCGAAACGAAAATAACCCCCATTATTAAAAAATACCAAATAAGAACTAACAAAATGGTTCTGGACGGAAGCCAGAGAACTGGGCCGACCGTGGCAATCCACGTCAGGCAGCAGACCCCATGGAATGGAACCTATCGTCTTCTAAGTCCAAGCAACAGCCACATTTTAAACAAAACAAAAATCACAACCTCAAAATATGCAGGCAAAAAATACAAAAAGACTCAACTCGTCAGATAGCATAACTGATCAAAGGCGCTCCGGTAGCCGCGCTGAGCGCAATCGAAGACGACAGCGACTCGGCCGACTCCCATGACCTTCTCCTTTTAGAGGGCGGTCCCGGCTACGGTTCATCGAACGACGGTTGGCTGGGAGAACTTCAAAAATTCTTATTGATACAGGGGCAGCGAAAAGTTATATAAGGCCCGTAAAGGAGCTTAAAAATATAACGCCAGTAGCTTCACCGTTTCGGGTGAATTCAATTCACGGGTCCAACGGCATACGTGTGTTCAAAAAGTAAGGTGACTCTTCAAATTTCGCGAATTTCAAATTTTTCGATTATCGAAACCTTTTAGAAGTTATACGAGTTGTGTTCAAAAAGTAAGGTGACTTTTCAAATTTCAAATTTTTCAAATTTTTCGATTATCTTCAGTTTTGGGAACAAGAAAAAGTCACATGGGGCCAAATCCGGTGAATATGGTGGCTGAGGCATTATTGTGGTGTTGTTTTTGGCCAAAAAATCCAAATCCTTTGATCCATATTTTTCGATAGCAAAAAATCGCCGAGCTCGCAAAACAACTTGTAACTTTACGCCTCTCACAACCAAACAAAAGAGGAGGTTCCATTGAAACTTGGTACAGATGTTAGGGAAGAGTGTACCAATATAACAAAACAAAAAAATCGGTAATCGAAAAATTTGAAATTCGCGAAATTTGAAGAGTCACCTTACTTTTTGAACACACCTCGTACATAAAAAGTTCCAAATAAGTGTCTTGGAAACCACTTCCCCATTTTTTCATATTAGATTCCCTAACAACATTTGACGGGATCATAGGATTCGACTTGCTAACGCAAGTGAGAGCCACCCTCAATATGCAAACTAAAAAAATGTTGTATGGTTCCGTGTCTGAGGACCTGCAGTTTCTTGATTGCGACAATGTAAACTTTACCAACATAAACTCGTTCCAGAGTCAGTAAAAAAGAAGTTTATCAAAATGATAAAAAAAGGTCTAAAGTGTTCTCCGACGCAACTTAAACTTTGCCGTACAACACAAATGTTGTGACAACTATACAAAATGAGGATAACAACCCAGTGTACTCTAAAACGTACCCACACCCAATGGGTGTCGCAGAGTTCGTTAATAAAGAAATAAAAGACCTACTGAAGTCTAATATTATTACCCCATATTACTACCGTATAATAATCCAACATGGGCGGTCGATAAAAAGGGGTCAGATGAGACAGGTGGTAACTGAACAAAAAAAAACCATTCCTGATAAATACCCTTTGCCAAGTATCGAGTTAATACTGGCAAACCTTGGCAAGCCAAAAATTTTACAACTCTAGACTTAAAATCTGGCTATCACCAAATTTCCCTCGCGGAACAAGATCGCGAAAAACCTCATTTTCAGTCAACGGAGGCAAGTATGAATTCTACCGCTTGCCTTTTGGATTAAAAAATTCTGGTAGCATTTTTCAATGGGCAATAGTTGACGTATTGAGGGAGCAGATAGGGAAATCGTGTTACGTCTGTGTTGACGATGTCATAATCTTTTCGGAAAACGAAAAAGAGCATGTTAGTCACATTGACTGGGTCCTGAAAAAATTGGGCTTAGTCAATATGAGCATCTCGAAAGAAAAAACCCAGTTTTTTTAAAAGAAAGTGTCCAATACTTCGGCTTCCCGAAACGGGGCAACAACTGACCCTGAAAAGGTAGCAGCCATCAAGGAAAACACAGAACCGACCAGCTTATTCTCACTAAGATCATTTTAGGACTTGACAGCTATTATAGGTGTTTTATAAAAGATTTCGATACAATAGCCAGGCCACTAACCAACCTCCTTAAAGAAGAAAACGGTTCCGTAAGTAAACACATGTCAAGGAAAATACCAATAAATTTTAACGATCAGCAAAGGGACGCATTCGATAGACTTCAAAACATTTTGGCATCAGAAGATGTCACCCTCAAATACCCAGACTTTAAGAAACCGTTCGATCAGCTTACGTTCCGACAGCTTACGGCATCGGGGCTGTACTGTCGCAAGACAAACCCATAACGATGATATCCAGAACCCTTAAAGACTGCGAGACCCGTTACGCAACTAACAAAAGAGAGTTACTCGCTATAGTCTGGGCTCTAGAAAAATTAAGGCAGTGTCCATAAGCCGCTAACGTTCGCTATCTCGGAGAAGAATCCAAATGACAAATTAAAACGTTGGAAAGCATTAAAAGCTGACTACGGCGCAAAAGTCATATACACTACGGGGAAAGAAAATTTTGTCGCCGACGCCCTATCGAATCAATGCCCATCAAAACGATTCCAAATCTGTTTGTGCAACAGTTCACAGTGAAGAATCTAGCACTTATACGCTAGAAACAACGGAAAAATCTTTAAATAGTTTCAGAAATCAGA